CAACAACAAAAAAGACAATGGCTAGTTTTGACAGGACATAGTTTTCTAATCCATTTGTCCTAGATTGGACCGAGGGAGATCCAATATCCAACTTAATAAGAAAATAAAGTGGTGGAGACGTGGGGAATTAGCTCAGTGGTAGGGAACCCATGGGTTAAATACCCACTACTCCCCCCCCAAATAAGTTTTAAGGAAAAAAAGTATTCAGAGTAAAAATTCTTTATATTTAGTTATTATCAAATATGACTTAGAATAAATTCACCTATAGCACTACTACTATATGTTCTTCAGGATGCTAGAAAGAAAGTAAAAACATCATTTAAATTGTTTAATGAAGTGCAACATTGAGGTAATAATAATTTCATAGGAAAGTTATGCAAACTTTAATGAATATATAAAGAATATGCCAAAGTCAAACTGTGATTCTTTTTTGAATTTCCAAAATATTGTATCAAAATTTTACATTCCTTTATATTAATTAAGCATAATCTACAATCTAACAAAAATGATTAATCAGAAACTGAAGTTGTGTGTTAATTATGATCCATTGAAACATTTTATGTTTGCAGTATAAGGTTTTTATAGTATCTCCAGCTTGCAAAACTAACATTAAATACTGTGTGGATTAATAGCTGTCAAGTGTGCTCTACTTTCAGTATAAAGTAATATAAATTAGCTTCATAATTTGTTAATTAATATAGTTCATCACTTCTGAATTTCTTTTAACTCTTATGTGCACTTACTGCTATAGTTACAGGTACATATTTTTCTGAAAAACTTTTTTTCTTGATTCTTAAGTTATATGAAATTACTTTGGTTCTGTTTTCTTTTTCCTCTGTGTATTTCAGTTTCCTGATTGAGCAGGCTACAGAGATAAGACATTTCAGAGTAAACTCTGTGGAGAGTGAACCAGACTTAAGGCAATGACCCTGAGCAGCCACCATCAAAAACCTTTGTGTTATTTTCTCCAGAAGTTTTTCTCATTAAAAAATAAACACTTTAAAGCATTTTCTTTTCCTAAAAGTTATTCAAGATTGAAAAATGAATTCATTTCATTTAAGAAAAAAACTAGTTTTTAAACAATAGAATAGTCTTGTTAATAAGTGTTTAGCCTCTTTCTCTTTCTGTCTCTCCATCCATATCCTCTCCCACTCACATTAAACATCTTTCATAAATCAATAGTGTCGTGTCCTCTAGAAATCAAGTAGCCTGTAGTTTCCTATAGAACACAGTTCTCTCTTTATATGAATAGGTTTTGGCAACAATTCTAGTGCTCATTTCCCCAATTCTAGAGTTTGTTTACTCTCATCAGTCTACCACCACAGCAGCATTTCTTAATTCTGTTGTTAAAAATATCATGTGTCATGCAATGCCCACCTATTTTGCCTAAATATGAGTATTATTAGTGAACAAATAAGCAAAACTGGAAAAAACTAATAATCTCAGGAAACAGAAGAATGCCTTCAACCATGGCTATATTGCTAGTACATCAGACTCAGGAGAAGAAAGCTTAGAAAGGTGTTGCATATACAGTTTCACCTCTACCCAGCTTTCTTTTGTAAAGGCTAGCCTTTGCCCCAGACATTTGAAATTAGACATTCATGACCAACTTCAGGGGGAAAAAAAAAAAAAGACACTTCCTGTTGAAATTCTTTCTCAGCCAATAACATCAAGAAGATGAGAAAGTCTGAGTTAATGGCTGAAGTTATTAATTATAAACTTAATTTTTGAAGAAAAGAAATTAAATTTGCTATAACAATTGAGTAGCTTTGCTAATAATTTCTTTGATACTGAATTGGGTTCTAAGGGCTGCCTTAAAATTAACTAAAAGTGAACTGGAAAAAAACAGCAGACATTTGGGGGGCTGTAAGTCTGAAGTCAAGATACCAGAGGACTGCAGCCTCAGGAGAATGTGCATGCTGTTCCAATGTCTGGGGACCCAGGAGTTCCTCACCCAGAAGATGGTCTCTGCTTCTGCGGTCACATGGTATTCTTCCTGAGTCAGTGTCTAAAGATTATTCTTCTTATAAGGACACCAATCATATAGGACTGTCTTCCCTTCCATTCCTGAGGTACTTTGGGTATGGGGTCGTGGCTCAGCAGTGACATGCCTGACTGGCATAGAGGAGGCCTTGGGTTTCATCCCTAGAACTGGGAACAAGGAAAAAAAGTAAATGATTCCCTATTATGTCGATTGCATTTGTAAGAACTCCATTCTCAAAAGGGTAAAACACCTATGGAAACCTAAAGCTAACCCTTTCAGGGCCCATTCCCTTTGTCCCCTGACCCAGAGCAGGAATCCGCGGTCCACACCCCATTTCGTAGCTCCGCCCCAGTACCCCGGGCCCATCCTTGCCCTTGACACACAGGTGCACACACTGGCGCAGGAGCTCTTGCTCGCACGCAGGCACTGCCTGCTGCTTCTGCTCCCTAGGTTTCTGGGAGGCTTGGAAGAGGCCGGCAGACAGAGAAGAATGTACCTTCCAGTCCCCCAGGTACTTCCTGCTGACTGCTGCCTGGGCTCCCCGTGCCTGGTCCCAAGGCTTTGTCGCCTTCTGGGTAGGCATGGCGGCACCTTTCCCCTTTGCAGTTCCTGGTGAGGTCCTGGGACTCCCACAGGGGCAGCCTGGCTCTCACCACCATTCTGCTGTTGGCTCTCCTGGAGCCAGGAGGAGAGCCTCAGGTAGGGCGGACTTCAGTATCCCCAGCAGTGTGTGGCAGCGGGCACAGGCCTGGCTGGAGAGGCATCTGGGGAGGAGTTGGGCGAGGCAGTGCCTAGAGAGGGCGCGAGCTTCCTGTCGCTGGGAGGCAGTGGTGCTCTTACAGGTGGCTGGGTGGATGCAGTGGAGATTATATTTGTAGGCCGGTGGGGCAGAGGAGGGAGTGTGCTGTTCCTGGTGCTGGCTCCTTCAGGCGGCTGAGTGGGTTTGGCGGGGTTAGAGAGCTCATAGTTGGGTGTAGTTGTGGGACAGTGGGTGGGGGTGTACTTGCACTGGGAAGCTGCTGGGGGTGGAGCCCCTCACCTAAACTGGGGAGAGGAAAGGGAAAAGAGTAAAACACGTGAATTCAAGGGAAGCTTGTCTCTACTGTTAAAAGTATGGGTGTATCATATTGTAAAAACTGTTCTGAACTATATCTGCAAGTGTTTTTTTTTTTCTTCACAGAAGTAAATTCCGATTTTTCAGTGTAAGTCCAGCCATTAGCTGATTTTTAATGACTCATTTTTTTTTTAATATACCAATGGCTTCCGTATTTTAAAACGACAAATTTTATGGAAACCATTTTTGAAAGTCCTCATTTACTTTGCCTTATATTTCACTATTTCCCAATGAGTAGACTTAATCTCCATTGACATTTTTCTTTATGCTGTGCAAAGGATAT